AGAGAGAGAGAGAGAGAGAGAGAGAGAGAGAGAGAGAGACACAGAGAGGGAGACAGACAGAGAAAGAGAGAGAGAGAGAGAGAGAGAGAGAGAGACACAGAGAGGGAGACAGACAGAGAAAGAGAGAGAGAGAGAGAGAGAGAGAGAGAGAGACAGAGAGGGAGACAGACAGAGAAAGAGAGAGAGAGAGAGAGAGAGAACGAGAGAGAGCATGTTCACAAACAGAACATTTTGATTACAGATGCCGTTTCCTGTGCGAGTGATCGTCTCCAACTTGTGGCTCTTCTCGCCTCTAATTGACCGGTAGGTGGAGCCACTGTCTCGTAAACTTTTGCCTCTTCACCCGAAACTCCCACACGCACACACATGCATGCACGCGCACACACAAATTAAACTAGACAGAGGGCACTCAAAGAGAGTGCATACCTCTGCGAGCGTACATGTGTATAACAGCTGGCTCGCTGCTGGCTGCTGCTGACTAAATGCCCTAAGGCGAGCTGCTGCTGACTGGATGCCCTAAGGCGAGCTGGTGCTGAATCGATCACGCCAACGCTACACACACACAAACACACATGAACACACACACGAACACACACACGAGAGCGATTACATTACCTCCCTGCAACTTCGTTGCGCGGAGGTAATAATACAATGTAAATAATGTAATATTAAAAATCATAAAAACGAATAAAAATTCAAACATGTAATTGTATATAAATTCTAAAATTAAATATAAGTTACAAATTCAAACATAAATTCAAATTTCAAATACATGCCCACCGTAAAAAAACTTGATGACGACGGAGCGTCCATCTTGCAGGCTGGCCGTATACAACAGGAACGCGAACGCGCTCATCCGCACGACGACGGCTGTGACGATGTGTCATGGCGGCCACAAGTCGAACGTCGTTCCGTCGGCCGCCTGGGCTGTCGTCAACCACCGGCTTCACCCCGCCCACACGATCGCGCAGGTAGGTGGCAGCACCTGCACCCCGCTCACGTGATTGCACGTGTAGGTGGCAGCACCTGCACCCCGCTCACGTGATTGCACGTGTAGGTGGCAGCACCTGACGCTATTGCACAGATAGATGGCTGCACCGAACCTAATCATGTCCCCGGCGGCATCGCGCAGGTGGCGTAGGTGGCGCCACTGTGCTACCCACGTTCGTAAGTCTCTTCGCATGCTCGCTAGATGGCAGCACGGAACCCGCGTTCACTTGTCGCATCTGTCGTCGTCAGGTCCTGGAGCTAGATCGCGCGATCATCGACGACCCCCGCGTCGAGGTCAAGGTCATCGCCGGCAACGAACCGCACCCCGTGTCGCCGGCAGGGGGCGCCACCTTCGGCTACCAGACGATACGGCGCAGCATCCAGGAGGTGTTCGACGGGATGACGGTGGCGCCGGGTGAGCGAGCAGCGCCCTCTATACGAATAATCTATAAGCGAACGTCGTCCAGCGACGTCGGTTAAACTTTTTTGCGTGCGGAGAAAGTTTCTGTGGCCTTTGTTTTACAGAATTTAATTTTTTTTCCATCTTTTTTTTTAAAATTTAATTTAAATTTAAAGTCTTTATTTTCTCCCGCTATCACGTACGTCACACTCATTCGTCGTCGCGCCCGGCGTCGCACCACATTTGATACGTGTAATCGCGCGTTGTTTCGCACGTGGTCTTTACATTACATCCTTCTATCCACCCCCACCCCGCAGCTCGTGTAAATCAGCCGCGCTTTGTCTTTTTTGTGTTTTTTTAAACTTTTTTTTCTTTGTCTTGCTGCGAAATACGAAGCGATGTCTTATACTTTGCTAATACGTTGTCTTACGCGTGTTAATACGAATGCGCCGCCGTCTCTATCTCGTTGAAATCGCACGTTAACGCGAGTCGTAAGTTGTCTCCATTTCGTCGCAGGACTGTTTATTAATGATTCATAATTATTTAATGAGGACTAATTGCAGGACTGTTCGTGGCGGCCAGCGACACCGAGTGGTACCACAAAATTAAATTATTAATTAATTAATAATTAATGACTAATTGCAGGACTGTTCATAGCGGCTAGTGACACTAGGTGGTACCTGAATCTCACGGACCAGATCTACCGCTTCACTCCCGTCCACAACCGCCCGGAAGACATTTCCCGTTACCACGGCAACAACGAGCGAATCGGCATCCGTAACTACGAGCAGACGATCAACTTCTACTACCACGTGATCGTGAACTCCGACCTCGCGGAGGTGGCGCCCCCGCACGTGCACGGCGAAGAACTGTGAGGGGGCGCGGGCGGCGCGGGGGTCGGCGGCGGGGGCCTCCTAAGTTCGCGAAAACCGATTT